CTTTAAAAAAAAAAAAAAAAAAAATAGTCTTCACTAGAGAGGATACTCATGTCAATAGTGAATGGCTTTTCCTTTACTTGTAGATACCTGGGGTTATCACTACTAAATATGTCTAATGCCAAGGGGTTTCCATGATGGAGACGTGTCATTCCCTGCCCCCCAGCAACTCTGCTTTCCACACTAGGGAGACTTCTAAACAACCACAGGAAAAAAAGCACTTGGACAAGCACAATATGTACCACACAAAACACAGAATAGGAAGGCAGGGCAACATGAAGTCAGGACTACTTCTAGACTGTGCAATTACTCTAGAGAATTAAATGAATTGAAATATATTTTTGACCTTTATAACTTAGATTTATTACTTGGAGATGTTTGAAGTTTCAGAAAAGTGAAAAATAAGTATAGGACTAATGTTGCTCCCTGCCTATTTCCTTATCACTATCTGTAGCTAAAGCACTTTCATTTCACCATTTAATTGGGTGTATTCCTCAGTGACTGAAGGTGGCAGCGATTCCTTTGTTGCTTCACGTGGCTGCTGTTCCCAAGCAGAGATGAACATACACATTGTCTTGGTTTTTGGTTTGTTTCGTGTTTAAAGGGGAACCAAAAAACAAAACAAACAAAACTACTTTGAAGTAAATTTATTTTTCTTTTTCAGAAAACATTTGTTTAGCTATTCTTTCTGTCTCTCTGCAGTATGAGCCTGTATTCAGGGAAATCCAAGAACATCATCTCCTGTAGTCGGCATCCTGCAGCTCCATAATGGAAACTCTACGTAGCATTTGTCATATTTCTTGGTCACTCACATAGAGATGTAGCAGAGAATCTAGGCCCTGGGGAAAATGGCATTTCCACGAGTAATTAGGAATGAATGAAAAAATGACCATATCAGGAATATCAGGAATCCAGTGGAATTTATCAGCCAGATCTTAGCAGGAACAGAGAATAGGAGAGAATCCTTTATCATCAAAAGACACATTACTATGAGCCCCTGTGCTCATTTCTAGACATGACAAAGATATAGAACAACCCCGGGCTTCCCAAGATGGTCCCTTCCTCTCAGCTTTTGGGCCATATGCTCTTACTTTGGAAGTTTTTACTGGGTCTTCCCACTATGTTCAGGGCTCTGTAATAAGTACACACCATATGAAAACACCTCTGATATAGTAATGAGTCTTCCCACTATGTTCAGGGCTCTGTAATAAGTACACACCATATGAAAACACCTCTGATATTAAATATCACCATATCCAATGAAATAGTTTGGTTGTGAGTACCTAGGTCTAAATCACCCACAGCCAACTACACTTCCTCCCAATAAGAAGAAAGAAAAATATTCAGTTGATTGAGATATTTTGCTGTACAATTTAAGTTCTGCAGTTCATCACTTGTCCTTTTTCTTATTTCACATCAAAGAACCATACACATGTAAAAAAAATTTCCCATATTAAAATCCAAGCATATGTTGCTGTCATAATGTAGAAAAAAAAACATTGTGACAAGATAAAAACATAAGGTCCATTAAATGACAAGCAAAATATAGGAGAAGGATAAAGCCCCAAAATCAGAACTAGTTACTTACAAAATCTCTCCTTGACAGTTATATGTTGCTGTCATAATGTAGAAAAAAAAACATTGTGACAAGATAAAAACATAAGGTCCATTAAATGACAAGCAAAATGTAGGAGAAGGATAAAGCCCCAAAATCAGAACTAGTTACTTACAAAATCTCTCCTTGACAGTTCAAACCTGTGAAGGTTTTTGAACTAGAGGTTGAAGAGAAGGGGGATGCATCTCTCAGTTTCCCACACCAATTATCCTAACTAAAATCATTCAGGTTATCTCACCTTTTTTTTTATTGGTATAGGGGGACATTTATGGCAGACCCAGTAATCTTACGTAATAGCCACATTGGTATTTCCCCAGCATTACTTCGCTCTATGAAAACGATGCATCTAGAATGAACTTCAGAAGCTTCTAGAACAATAAGACCCATCACCTCATCTTCCATTTACAGCTTACTCTTCTTAAATGTTACCAACCATAAACTGTTGTTTTCTCCCAAAGTGAATTAGTAGAAGAAAAGGAGATTCTTAAAGGACAGTCAGAAAACATAGAGGGTAAGTCATCTTCCTATAATTCTGACACACGATTGCTTAGGATCTCCCTCTGGAAAGCAGAGTAAGGCTGTGGTTGTGTCTGTGTTCAGCACGTGCCTCTGGACTCCCAGTGGGAACAACCAGCCACCAGAGGAGCCTGCTGGTGATCAACTTTGACCTGGAGCCAGAGTGTCCCGATGCCGAGCTTCGAGCCACTCTGCAGTGGATAGCTGCCTCTGAACTTGGGATTCCCACCATCTACTTTAAGAAATCTCAGGAAAACAGAATTGAAAAGGTACTATGTTCCATGCTTGGGTAGGATATCAATAAAGCTTTCTGTTTTTATCAACACTGGACACTCAGTAAATGCCCAGTTAATCCGTTTGAATTTCAATTGTTTGATCATGTCTTTTCTTGACCTCAGAATGGTGGCTAGGATTATGAAAGTTTCCACCTGTGTAAATATAACCATGATCACTGTTTCTTTGGCCTCAGTTTGTCTTGGCAAGTTGGTGGCAATGAGAAAAGTAAATTGAGGAGCTGGGAACTTTTTCAAAGAGTTTTATTTTTTGGTGCGTCCTTGCTCTGGAACCAACCTCCTCATAACACTCATTTAAATAAAAAAATAGAAGAAAAGGACCTGATATATAACAGAAACCAAAGTGAGGCTGCACTGATATTTAAAATAGGCTGTGGCATGATGTCAAAGAGGAGGCACTTTTAATTCCCTACCAAAGAGGTTTGCATTATTATCATCTTCCACCTACCAGAAATATAAAGCTGGGGCATAGATTCTTGGCCAACATCAAAATTAATAGCAATTATCACTCTTATTCAGTATCTCTAAGATCTACCATTAACTGTGGTAGAACCTCAACTATTAAGATTAAGACATGAATTCATCTACCAGTGTCTTCAAGCTCAATTTTCCATAATTTAAAAATATGATTTTTTAAAGGATTCCAAATTAACAGCAATGTTGCTGCATTAATTTTCTATTGCTGTGTAACAAACTGCCACCAACTTACCAGCTTAAACCAACACGCAGCTCTACAGTTCAGAAGTTCAGGGAGTTTGACCATGATCTCTGCTTGGGTCTTACAATGCAAAAATTAAGGTGTCGGCCTTATTGGGCTCTTATCTGGAAGTTCTAGGGAAGAATAAGCATCCAAGCTTGTCTGGTTGTGGTCCTAATTCAGTTCCTTGTGGTTGTAGGACTGAGGTCCCTGTTTCCTAGCTGGCTGTCAGCCCAGGGTTACCCTCAGCTTTTGGTGGCTGCCCACGTTCCTTGTCATGTGTGTCCTTGTGTTCTTATACTGTCAATTTTCTGCTACCAGCCAGAGAGAATTCTGCTCTTAAAGTGTTTATGTTAGATTAGGTTCACCTGATAGTCTCTCATTTGATTAACTCAACATTAACTGATAAATCCCTTTTTCTCTGTAAGGTAGCATAATAAGGACATGAAATCCTATTCATGGTCCCAGGGATTGGGGTGGAAAATCTTGGGAACTGTTTTATGATGGTGTCTATCACAGCCACCATGCACTTTTTTCATGTCATCATCACAGAGTGCCTCCGTGGACTTGTTTTTTAATGGCCCTGTTAGAAGAGCAGAATGGATATTATTGTTCCTTTTTTTTTTTTTTTTTACTAATCAGCAAATCAGGACTCAGAGAGGCCAATATGTGAGAGATTCCTCATG